CCCCCGGGGACACCCCCCTAGCTGCTCGTCCCACCCACCATTGGTAACCAAGGGGTGTGTGGGGCCTGAAAAACATGACAGGATTTTATCTCCCCCCTCCCCTTCTTCTCCTCCACTAGGTCCGTGCCTTTCACCACGCCTTCAGCACCAACGACTGCTCGCGGAACGTCTACATCAAGAAGAACGGCTTCACCCTGCACCGCAACCCCATCGCCCAGAGCACAGATGGGGCACGGACCAAGATCGGCTTCAGCGAGGGCCGCCACGCCTGGGAGGTGTGGTGGGAGGGCCCGCTGGGCACCGTGGCTGTCATCGGCATCGCCACGAAGCGGGCGGCCATGCAGTGCCAGGGTTACGTGGCCCTGCTGGGCAGCGATGACCAGAGTTGGGGCTGGAACCTGGTGGACAATAACTTGCTGCATAATGGGGAGGTGAATGGCAGTTTCCCCCAGTGCAATAACGCGCCCAAATACCAGGTGAGCAAGGCTCAGTGCGGGCTGGAAGCTCCACCATGCCTGACGGCAGCTGGCCATCGAGGTCCTCCTCCCTCACCTGTCCTAGCTCTCTGCTGAGTTGGTCCCAAATGCCCACATAAGCGTCTCTTTGCCTTCCCTGCAGAAGGCAAATGATGGTGCTGCCTTGTGAGCCTTTTCCCCCTTGGTTTACTGCTTCCTCAGGCTGCACCTGTGTGTGGTGTTCAACGCACCTGACCCTCGGTTGTTTCCCCACTTTTATTTCAAATATTGAGTGTGAAGCATGTTCCATGGGTGCCTGTTTAGACACTGCGTTGCTTTTTGAAATAAAAGTCAAGACGACTGTTGCAGCCTTCAGGAGTAACGACTTGCCTCACAGCAAGGTGAATGTCAGTGGTACTTTACCATTTTTATGGTAGTGTGAGCTGAGTTAGTGCTTAGGTAAGAGTCTCTCTGCAAAAACCTGCAGCAGTGCTGAGCGCTGCTTGTTTGCTTGCTGGCAGCGTTCCCATAGGTGACATCCCTTGGCTGGGATGCTGGGATGTGATGTTCAGATAATTTCAGGTTATTAAAGAGCAAGGGCCATTCCACCTTCTTGTGTCTGTAGAAGTGTTTACCTTTGTTCTGCTGGCTGCCCACACAACGACGTTTGGGCTGCTGGATTTCCTTGCATTACAGCTTAAAACTGCAGGCATTATAATTTCTGTCTTGGATTGCCATGGCTTTGTGCGAGTATTGGCTTAGGTTTCAGTTGTGGGTGAAGATCCATGTAGTAACTTGTTTCTGATATTCCCAAATTTCATGTAAAAGTTCACCGCTGAGCACTTAATTCTATCTGAAGGTTATGCCTGCTGTTTTGGGGAATAATACTTAAATTCAGTGTAATTAAAGACATTTAGATCTGTTTCCATTTGCATGTTCCCTAGATTGGGTCGGCGCTTTCTGGACGTGACCCTTTGCAGTTGCTTTCTGCTGTCCTTGTCTAGGCCCTTCCGCAGCAGCAGGGCCAGGAAAGGTTCTGAAGCTGAGAGTCCCCAGCTCGTGTGGGGTCTCGGGGGTGAACCCAGTCGCTGCTTTCCCTGTAAAAACTGTTGAGAGCTCAGATCAGTGATCCTTTGGAGTATTTTGCGTTTAGTAAGACATGCACAGTGATCTGCTATAGAAAACAGTCTTCAATGAAACACACGTGGCTGTTGGTGTTGCTTAGAAGAAAAATAAGTTGGCTGGAAGAAATCCCCAGCGTTGGGGCTGGCTGGTGAAGGAGCAGAAGTCGGTGCGGTGTCCTGCTGTGCTTGCTGCTGCTGCCTGGGACTTCTATTTTTGTCTAAAATAACGTGTGCTGGATAAACACAGGGAGCACCGTGCATGCCTAGATCCGAGTCTCTTGCTGTGCTCAGTGCTGGTTTCACTTGTGCGTGTGTGTATATATTCTTATATATGTATAAGGTTTTTCACACTTATTTTGCCGAAGCTTTGCACTGAAGTTTCCTTCTGCCTTGGTGAGGGAGTATGCTCTCTCTGACAGCACCTGCATAGTAGTGCCTTCTGGTATGCTTTGCACGTGGTGCTTACCCTTTCTGAAACAAGTTTAAAATCGCTCTTTGCAGAGCGGTGAACTGCTGAGGGGTAGCAACAGCTAAATACAGAGTTCGGTAACGTGGAGGCCAGTACAAAGATTCCCAAAGTCTGTGGTGTGCTGAAGCACATGGCATGCTGGAAACAGGCAGCGGAGGTACTCAGGACCCTGCTCTGTTGGAGTGAAACTTCTAGAAATTCCTGTCGTAAAAGTAATGCAATTGTGAGAAACAGGAAGGCTTTGCTTTAAAATTACCTGCTGTGTTGTACCTGGGCTGTGCTTTATTTTTGTGTCTCCATTTGAATATGCTGACTCTTTCTAAGTAATTTTTTTTTTTATTCCCCCTTCCTTTCTCTGTTTCCAGATAGGTGAAAGGATTCGAGTTATCCTGGACATGGAAGACAAAACATTAGCGTTTGAGAGGGGCTATGAGTTCTTGGGAGTTGCCTTCAGAGGACTGCCGAAAGTTTGCCTGTATCCAGCAGTGTCTGCTGTGTATGGTAACACAGAAGTGACTTTGGTCTACCTGGGAAAACCCCTGGACGGATGACGTGGATGGTTTTGCTGGGACATGGAGATGTGGATGATTGGGAGGAGAACTCTGCATGTTGGTTAGAGGGAAACGTGTATTTAGAGGAAAAACAAAAAAAGAGTGGGTGTGGTGTCCAAGAACCATCGGGGGAGTCACACGGAGTTTTGAGACGGAGGACCAGCCATACTTCAGGAATTGTGTTACATTTCCTCTTTCTACCAGGCCAGAAAAATCCTCAGGGTTGCAGTTGGTTGAGTGGGAAGCTGACACATGCATGTTGCAACAGATTTCATTGCTAAGACGGCAGTGTGTGACCTCAGATATTTAAGAAAGGATTTGATACAAAACTGCTTGAGAAAATTAACCTGAGATTTGTAAGTAGCGTGTTTTGTGAAAGACTCCCATTTTAAAACTGCTTGTTCCTTCCCTTCCCTCCTCTGGGCCAACCAGGGGAGAGCGAGTCCGGTTGGGTTTTATTGACAATTTTTAATGTACTGAGAAGCATGGTCTGTCTGGACTTCCCTTCTCCAGTATAATGATACAAAAAAACAGTGTGCAGCTATTTTTAAGTGTATTTTAAGGGTTGTATATGTATATAGAACACGTCAAAAAGAACAGTTGAGAGAAAGGGTTTGCTTTATTCTAACTGGGACATAATTTCTTCAAGGGAAAAAGAAAAACCCCACTATGTGGCATCAGAAAATATACCTCGGACGGGTATATGACATTCATGTACGTGTGCTTATGTCGTGTTGTAAAGCGTTTGGGGGTGCTCTCGTGGAGTACAGTGCTACGTTGGGTCATTTTCTGTGATAGTTTCCATGGCTTTAGCAACAGTTTTGTTCTCCGTAGGAAATGCAAAAACGTTTGCCCCACGGGTTTCCTTTTGCCAATCCCCTTTCGGAAAGGAAGGTGTGACGCGGCGGTGGGCTCATCTTCCTTTTGAGATCAGAAACACAAACTTGTAAAGTGTTCTTGTGCTTTCTAATCGCTGTGGCAGAATGTTTCAAAGCGACGAGGAAGGAGCATTCAGTTTCTGAATCCAGACCTTGGTTTCAGCTTAAGCGGCTTTATAAGGCTTTTAAGGCGTGGCTGAACCTTTCTAAACAAAATTTCCCCCATACCCAAGTATTCAGCTGCTCGTTTTCGGTCAGGATGAGTAAAACCCTCACCAGTCCCTTGATGGGGATTCTGGATCAGGTTCAATGTTTGGGCTTTTCACCTGCACCGGTTTTCTAAAAACCACCTACAACACCCACCCCCCCTCACACCCCCCCCGGGTGTTGTTGGAGTGCTGGCATAGGCGGGGGGGGCGGCTGTGGAGCTGAGGGGTGAAGCAGGGAGGGACTTTCTGGCGAAACTGTGTTCTCGGGGGCTGCCTGCAGACCTGTCAGCCTCAGAAGGGCTCCTCTCAATAGGGCGTTAAAACCTGCCAGCCCTGCGGCTAGCTCTTGGCTCTCGCTTCGGTTGGCGTCCCCCCCAGCTGTCATACTACTTCACCGCGGGGCAGGCTTTTCAGAGAGGTAGAAGGGAATGTGGGTACAACCTCTTTTTGCTTTATTTGCGCTAAAGAATGCAAATTGCTTAATGTCGGACACTGGCAATTCTCTGAGCATGGAGGGGAGAGGAATTGCTCGTAGGCTGTTGCTCATTTCTTCCCCCATCGCTCGAGTAACACGAGGAGAGCGGTGCAAGCAGGCAAGTGGGCCTCCCAGTCTGCTGCCCAAGAGCTGTCCTTGGAGGGCTTTTTCCTGGTAGATAACCAAGTTCTGCACTGGAACAGAGTATGTACGTCACTACCATCGAATAGCTTTTAAAAGTATTTATTTGCTTTGTGTGTTGTCTATTGCTTCAAGGCAATGCTGAGGTCCGGGGTGGCCTGCGTTAAAGAAACAAAATACACAGTGAGAAATGAAGGTGTTTTAAGTGGTGCTGAGAACAACCTGATAAATGAAGTGGGACGGGGATACGAGTACCTTTTGGAAAAATCTGCTACGGGCGGCGATTGTATGAGACTGTGAAATACATATCTGCATAGCAGAACCGTGGGGCGTGGGGGGGGGTGTGGGTGGAAGGAAACGCTGTCTGATTTCAGAAAATACAACTGTCCCTGTGACGAATGCATGCTCAGTGCGGTCCTGAAAGACCTCTGCGCTTGTTCATGAATCCAATTAGATGCAAGTAAACCCTGAGAACTTCTGAGGAGTTTTATTCACAAATGAAGGTTGATTTCCGTTCTTCAGACTGCGTCTTACCCTACAAATAACTTCCCTCTAAATTAGAAATGCTGAAAGTTGAACATTCCTGAAAGGGTGGGGATGGGGGGGACTCACTTATGTACGATTATAACTTATTCCTGGAGACCAATGCTGGCTGTACAAAATACTAAAATAAACTCTGCTATAATTCTGAAGGATCTATTGGTGTGGATTGTTGTAACGGCATCCATGTGGTGTGGCGACAGGAAAAACGGAGCAGCAGTTTGGTGCCTGAGGGAGATGGAGGTGTCAGGGCTGTGTGATTTGCTGCCTGACTGCTGGGGGGGAAAAAAAAAAAAAAAGAGAATCCGATGAGCAGTTGACAAGGACTTGAAGACTCTGGTGGTCTAATGGCCGTGCTTGGGAAGTCACATCCTCCGAAACAGGGATACTGGCGTGTGACGGTGTGGGAAGAGGCTCTCCTGACCGCCGGAGGTCTCGATTCGGGTTGAGGTGTTGCGCTCACTGCTGTGGCTGTGGCTACCCCTGCTCGGCTGCTGCTCGGCTTCTCCCTGTTCCTTCAGCTTTCCCTGTGGAAGTTCGATATTTCACAGTGCTTTTAGGAAGAAGTAGGTGACTTTTAGGAGGAAGCAGGAGGCTGTGCTGTGGTTGTGAGCTCCGAGGCTCTTTCTAAACTCCCCACATCGAGAATTTGCTTTTGGGCAGTGAACTTTCGGCTAACATCTCTGCGAGCTGCTTCAGGGGCGAAGAAGTTTGGTGCTGGCTCGCCAAAAACACAGAATCACCTTCTCTAGGCTACGGTGCTTCGGGGTCGTCCAAAGAGCTGTTGGAAGCATCTTCCCTGCCCCGATAGCAATTTAGCTGGTGTGGTCAGGAGGAACCTTAACTGTTCATAGCTCCCGTGTTGGGAATCAGTCAGATTCACAGGTCTTGGCTTCAGAATCCTGCAGGACATCCAGAATTTATTGATAAGTGAGCATTTTGTCTGCTATAAAACTCAGAATTCCATGTGGTTTTAAGTGTGCTGTGAAATCCACTGGGAGCTTGGCGGTTTGATCTGGTCACGCTTCTGCGTCCAAGGCAGCAAAGAGCCCAACATGGCCCCTCGTTTTGGAGCAGAATCCGTTCGTGGCTTCGGTGGTGGCTCCTTGTGTCGGCCTGAAGTCAGCTGTGTGACTTCTCTTTCCATAAGAGGACAGAGGTGCTTGCTGCAACGAATTAATAAATCAAGATGGCGCGGGAAACCCACCCTGGAAGGGATATTTTCTTGAAAATGTTTGGTTTTGGTTTTTTTTTTCCCCCCATTTAAAATGCAGTGGTGAGTGTGCATTTTGGGGAGTCCCGCGCGCGCCTTCCACGAGTGAATGACATTTGGTTTTGTCACTTTTGGCTGCATTCCAGGTGACGAATCTCGCCGGGAGCAGATGGCCTTGATCCTGCGGGCTGAACTTCTGCCGCCTCGCGGGCAGCTTTGGGCTCTGACAGCAAGCTGGAACACACTTTTCTCTTCGCTCACTCATAATCAGCATTTTTAAATTTCCTTAACACGCGGGTGTGTTTTCCAGGTGGCTGTCTCTATTCCTCCCCCACTCCCCCCAGTTCTCATTGGGATGATGACAGCAGCGACGGATTAAAATAACAGTTTGATGGTACAAAACTTCTTTTCTCTAAGTATTTGAGAGGCAACCAGCCCTCAGCGATTCCTGCACCCATGTATTTCGACACTGGTATTTCAGTTCTAGCTAAATCTTTGCATGTTATAAATAGCTCCGGACGCTGGCAGGAACGCAGCTCTAAGTGCTGCATGCGCTGCTGTTCTCCGGAACAGGGCCAGTTCTCGCACAGTACAGATAATTTGGAGAAATCTGTAGCCAGAAAACGGCATTACTGAAATCTGCGGATCTAGGATCCTTCCTGCGCTTACAAAACAGGTTGTGAAGTGGTTTGGAGCGGGATGTGTTTGGTTTCTGTTAGCGATAGTAGTCCACTTCGCACCAAGGTATGATCCAGTTGAAAGGGAAATTAATTAAGTGGGAAAGGAACAGGGAAAGCTTTTCCTGCAGCGGTGCCGAACCTGCTTATCTGTACTATGAGCAGCTTTTCTCATGCTGCTGTACGAAGCTGCCTGTGTTGTCCGACCTCCGAGTGAATTCTTCCACTTCTCCACAAGAGGGCAAAGCGAACAGTGCTGTGGGAGCCTGGACTTGGTGTTTCCCAAGCCTTGTGCAAAAGAAATGTTTAATGCGGAGCCTCCTCCCTTAGCATTTGCTTCCTGGCCTCTTAAAAAAGCAAACCCAAACCCCAAAACCTCCACAAAACAGTCGATCATGGAGATAATGGAATGTTTGAAATGCGCTGCTTTGCTTGATTCCTTGATCCTGAAACAAGGCTGTGCAAGTCTTTGCTGTTCAGGGGGGTATTTTCAGTGGGAGCGTGCTGAACTGAGACTCCGAGATCGTCTTAGAAGATGGGGTTTGAGAAGCTCAAACAAGACATTGCCATTGCCGTTCAAAGGATTATTTAAAAAAAAATAAATTCCACTGCAGTTGAAAAAAACCTCCATAATTGTTGAAAAGGGATTTTACAATACAACTTCGTGTATGTTGCAGGTGCTGTTTATTCTCCTGCAGTTTTACAAGCTCGACAAACGAGGGTGTCTTTTTCCCCTTCCATGCCTGCCCTTGCAGGTTTGTTGTGACCTGGTGGACTTGCTTCACGTTTGCTTGCTTTATTTTGTCTTTTTAATCCCTGTTGTTCTGCTTAGGTTAAAAGCTATGTACTTACCTGCAGGCAGTGTTTGAATGGGGAAGCATGTGGAGGCATAACCTGCTCTGTTCTTGTCTTCTGTGTAGTGGCCGATCTTTGTGTGAGCTCCCAGCTTAAACCTTCAGTTGTTTTTGTGACCAGCAACCGGAGGAGCGTTAGCGTGCGTGCAAACGAACGACCATCCTGGGATGCGTCGCCTGCGTATACCCACAGTGTTCTACTGCTTGGGATGGGCGCTCTGCCAAATAGTTTGCTGTATGTTTTGCGAAGTGATTTATTTTTTTTTCTTTTTAAGTCCTTTCTTGAACTTCTGATTTCAGGTGGCGAACCAACCCGCTCTCGTTTGCACAGCGCATCGTTAGAGGCACGCTCCAAGGCCGGGGACAGATGTGAAAACAGCTGGTTTACAGCAGTGTGTACGCTACAGCTACAAAATGCTGTCCTCTGGCAAATGTCTAAGCGTACCTGAGCAAGGTGCACCGGCATCCTTCGTTCCCGATGCCTTTGTTTAAAGCAGCCCATCAGCTTTGGTTTGCAGCAGGTGAGTTGAAAACCGTGGCAAGACAAAAAGTGATCGGTAACGGGAAGCACGGAGCTATTTTCAGCCCAAGTAGGGGGAGCACCTGCTGCGTGTGGGACTTCTCCCCAGGCTCTCTGTGGCTCGGTAACCTGTTAAACCTGAGAGCAAGCAGGAGGGGGGCTCTGCTCTGCTCCATCCACAAAACCTCCCTGGCACCTGTTTGCAGGTAACAAACTGCTGGCAGCAGCTTTGGCTGCAAGAAAGACTTGGGTGACTGGAGACGAAAGCCTGCGAGTGAGTTACTAAACCAAGGTTATAAAGTTCTTTTGTTTCCTTGCCATCCTATGTTTAGGAGAAGTAAACCATATCTAATCGCTTTTAAATAGTAATTTAAGAGAATACACTCCTCCAGCTTCAATATGTGACTTAATAAAGCACTGGACAGACCTGCCAGTAAGGAAATGGATGGTGACCAGGATGCTTTTTGTATGGTACTCCCAATACTGCAGCGCTTAAAGCTTTTCAGCCTCCATGTCTGCCATGTTGGGGCTCTTTGTTGGCTTTTTTTGATTGTTGGTTGGGGTTTTTTGTGCTCCAATGATGGAGAACGCTTTTCTCATGCCAGATCCCATCTGACGCTGGGCACCTGAGCCCTTCTGCAAGGTCTTGCTCATGAGCGGATCTCGAGGGTAGGATCTCGTGCTTTGTAAGCGGCCAAGAGATTTTTATCTCAGCTTTAGCATGTGATTTCGTCTTATTCCTGGAAAAATAATTGACGCATGCAGACCTGGAGCAGGAGAGTGTGCAATATGGAAATAAGCTGTTTTTAAATGTCATCTTGCAGCCGGGTGGTCTCGCCCCTCTGCGCTGTGTGTCCCTGGGATGTGGCCTGTCTTTACTGGCAGACCGTCAGTGGCTCTTCTCAGAAGGTAAACAGAGTACGAGAGGGGAAGATCTACTCTACTGATCAGCGCATCTGAACTCTACCCCTTTTGCATTCCTGAGCTCAGGTCTCAAACTGAAAGGCGAAAGCCTGCTCTGAGTCTCTCCCAGACACTGCTGTGGGGATGAGGTTTCAGATAAAGCAATGATATCACCTTTGTGTTAGAGTTTGTTTAAAAAAGCACCACAGAAGCTTCTATCCCGGCAGTTTTTTCTGTTTTCTTATGCGAGACCAAGGAATATGCCCCAAGTGCAAGGGCACCCACCAATCCTGAAGCCCTGCAGCCTGGCTTTTCCTCTGTCGCTTGTCCTGCAAGGGTCACACTAGAAAGGAGGGATGCTGAGCCCCGAGGCTGAGGACCTGGGGAAGGAAGACTTTGGAGTGCTTGGCTTGCTTCCAGCCCTGATTGAAATCCGTGTTGTGAAGAGCTGCTTGTGAGATAATGCCGCGCAGCAGGAGTGTTGGCTCTCCTGGCCAGAGGGGAAAGCGGAGTTGGATGGGCTTAGATCTGTAAGGAGCTGAGATAGTTTCACTTCCCTTCGCATTAATAACACGATTACTCACTTCTCTTAAGCAGAACGGCAGCAGGAAGGGAGTACGTGTGACTACAGATGGGAGTAGTTTTTCTTGCCACAATTTGCATCGCTGAATGATGACATGGCAGCGACTTGTCCGTACCTTCTCCTTCTGGTGACTTAGAGCCTCAAGTCCTGACAGTTTTTACCCTAAAAACCTTGGTGGATGTGCTGGAGTAGGTGGGTCAGGGGGGTTTATTGATTTAAATTGTTTACTTCATTGTACAGTACAAAACTGAGATCAATTTATCCACATCTGGCAACCCTGTGGGAACAAACTTGGGCAACAGTGTGTCAGGTCTAGTTGCAGCCAAAGACCAAACCGTAGATGTAAGCAGCCTGGTTGTGGGGCTTTCCAGCTTTTGAGGAGATCTAGGAGGAAAGATCCCTTGTCTTCCCTGGCTTCAGGTGCTTGCTTCTCCTGCAGATGCATTGCAAGCAGCTCTCTAGAGCATCTGGACTTCCAGTAGTGTCTGTCTTGGACCGCAACTCGTGAGGCAGAGGATGCAGCTGCCTTCCAGTCGCTACTGAAATACAGTGCTCTGCTACTCCACCGTCTGATGTGTCCTGCTGCATGCTCTGCTCCGAAGACCTTGTGATCCGGATGCTCTGCCGCTCTCTGAGGAGGAGGCTCGTGTCGGTGTGGTGGTGGATCCCTCGTGCAGACCTCAAACCCCCGGCCTGGGAAAGGCGGGTGGGTGAAGGCTACAAGAGGCAGCAGGAGCCTGGCCGCAGGGTGGGCTCAGCTACATGTGCGGGCGAGCGGAGGGGGAAATGAGATCACTTCTGCGTCTCTCCCTTCTGCGGCCAGCTTCCTCCTAAGTGGCTGTGGCCAAGCTGCTGACCAGCTCCCCCCTTCCCTTCCCACATGGTCCTGCGCTCTCAGAAACAAGGCTTTGCTTTTTACCAAGACCTATTTCTGCCTTTTTTCTGAGGCCTGTAGGGGATACTTGTGCCTTTTGGAGACTAAAGGGTCAAAGGGGGGATCCTCTATGAAAATTGCTGCTTGTGGGGCTCCAGGTTGGTGTCTAGGCCCTCAGTGAAACATCCTCCAAGCCCCAAAGCGTCATTTTCCCTGTTGTTCTTACTGGAAGCTCAACTGGGTCCCTGTAGGGGGTTGCATGTTGTCAGTCTGGGGTTATTTCCTTCCCCCTCCTCCCTGAGCTCACGCAGCCTCGATGCCTGCAGGTGTCGGCACCCAGCACACTGCCACAAAGGTGAGCAAGCAAGCCCTGCTCTCTGCTCAGAACAACCCAGAATTAATTCTGGGGTCAAAGAAGTCATCTTTCCATCAGAAAACCTGGCGAGAGCTAGGAGACTCCCAATGGCTGAAAACGAGGGAGAAAAGGTGAGCTTGGTTGTGGATAAACGGGAAATTGCAGAGTGAGAGCGAGCCCAGAGTGTGGGCTGCCTCTAGAAAGGGAGCAGGAGCGGGGTGGTGGAGTCAGCTGGGACAAGGGCGCTCTGGCTACAGAGGTTCACGAGCCACTGCGAAACCAGAGCCTGAAGCTGTAGTTCAGTGAGTAATGCCAGTGCTAGCCCACAGGTTTCCTTGGAAGAAGGCTGAGCGCGGCTAGGTAAGGGACCAAGCAGGTTGGTTGGCTACAGCTGGGTGTGGGTGGGAAGAAGATTTTGAAGCTGATTATAAATTGCTGATTTTTGCCTCTTGGTTTCCCCTGCAAGAGAATATGCTGGAGGGAAGCTGTACTGCTCGCAGAGCTCCAGTTCGGCTGCAGTGCCCCTGTACATCGGTGCATTTGTGTTGTCCTGGGATGGGGCATGTCCTTCATTATTCCCAGGGGATAGACTGGGTGGATGCCTGCTGAGAAATTCACCCAGGCAAACTTCCAGAGCTATGGATTAAAGTGAAGCCGTCCAGCTTTTCAGTTTAGAATCATAGAATCACAGAATGCTTTGGGTTGGAAGGGACCTTTAGGGTCACCCAGTCCAATCCCCCTGCAGGGAGCAGGGACACCTTTAACCAGACCAGGCTGCTCACAGCCCCGTCCAACCTGGCCTGGAATGTTCCCAGGGATGGGGCCTCCACCACCACTCTGGGCAAACCCTTCCAGCATTTCACCACCCTCACTGTAAAGGATTTCTTCCTTATATCCAGTCTAAACCTACCCTGGTTCAGTTTAAGATCACCACCCCTTGTCCTGTCACAGCTGGCCCTGCTAAAAAGATTGTCCCTGTCTTTCCTCTGGGCCCCCATTATGCACTGAAAGGCTGCAGTCAGGTCTGCCCGCAGCCTTCTCTTCTGCAGGCTGAACAAGCCCAACTCTCCCAGCTTTTCAGTTTAGCTTTTCCCTCTTGGCCACGTAATGCACGATCTGTTTTCATTTTTAAGTTCACAGTTCATCTTACATTAGAGGCAACTACTGCTACTGACAGCTTCTGAGACATGGTAGACCTTCACCTTCCCTTGTTTTATCCAGAGCAGGTGATGAAATTAAATAACTTCTTCACTTTTATCTTCTTGATACGTTTGTGCTGCCCGTGGACACTTCAGCCAAGCAGCAAGTGAGAATTTGATGCAGATTTCAAAGATAAAATTGGGATTTTCTTTGATTTTCAGAGTTACCGCTGGGTGCAGTGCCTGGGAGCGGACGGCTGAAGGGAGATACTGGTCTTCACCCTGCGGCCGCTCCTCCCTTTCTGATGAGGTCCGACAGGAGAGGTGCCGCTGCGACAGTCGGTCGCTCAAGCCTACCTAATATTTTCTGCAACGCTGTTTGTGGTTTCCCGTGAGCCTGCAGATGGTGATGTTTCTGTAGGTATTTATTTCAGCATTCCCAGGCTCCTTCCCCGGTGTGGCTGGTTTTCTCCCCATCCCTTTTCCCCTCGGCAGGAGCCAGAGGAATTTCAATTCTCACCAGTTCTCCACCGCGGTGGGAGTAGAGGAAGCTCATGGAGAAATGTTTCTGGCTTGCTTTGCCTGGACTTGGCCAAGGCTGTGGTCTTGCTGGTGTGTGAACCGTGAGTGACCTTTCTCTTGGTGCTTCCATGCCAGAAAAAATCACGTTTCCTGCAGGGAAGCAAGGGCCACACTGAGGTGCAGCGATGGGGTTGCTGTCTTCTGTTGCGGTTTCTCCTTTCCCATGGGATCCCGTCCTTGGGTGCAGCAGTCCAGGGGTGAGTGGGAGGTTGCCCTCTTGTTGCAACTTGGTTTGTGCTTGACAACTGAGGGTTGTTAAGGGAAAAAAAGATGGTTTGGAGGGAAGAGGAGGTGGGAGGGATGGAGTAAGCTCACTGGGTGTAAAACCGTATGGGGATTCCCAGTCCTCTCCTACAGCTGCAGGAATTGCAGCTGCATGTGTGGACACTGCTCCAAGAGGCCGAACCTCCTTCAATTTAATCCACCCGCGCCATCAGGCTGGATTCGAGCTTTGTGATGAGCTGGTCAGACCAGCAGCTCCTGGCAGCTCAATCCCTGTGCCTTTACTGTGCTGATATTAAGAAATAAACAAAAAACCCCCTCAAAGCACACATCCAGTCCTTACTGGGAGGACTGTGTGGGGGCATGATGCTGCTTGAGAGGAAGAGGAGGGGAGCGAGCGGCAGCTTTGGGATGTTTTCAAAACCATCCGGCTGCAGGATGTGGGGAAAGTGTGAAGTGCAGCGCTGCTGCCAGCTGCCCCGGTGCGGAGCCGGCGGCCACTCTGCGGGGAGCAGCCCTGCCCTGCGGCTGCTTTCTGGCAAGGACAGGGTGGGTGAAAGGTGGCCGGGTGGCATGGGGGCTCTCCCGTCCCACGGCACCTTTGCTGCTGGGGAAAGGGGGTTACGCTGGCTTGGCTTCGGTCAGCCGAAGTGATGAGCTGGGGAGGAAGAGGGGGATGAAGCATGTTGTTTTTTCTCCCAGGGCTGCAGGGAGGAAGCTGGTTTGACCCCCGGGGCATTGCCTTGTTTGGTGGTGCCACATGAAGGAATCTCATCAGAATATCACCCAGGAGCCTCCAGATTACCCCGGAGCAGAGAATCCACCGGTAAGGATGCTCGAGGTTTGCGGCTTCAGGACTTGCCAAGCCCTGGGTGAATCTCTGCTCGCTCCTGCATCACTGAGCATCAGACGTGTGGTTCTGGTGTGGGTTGGGCTTGTGGCAGGGTTTTGGGGATGAGGAGTGGGTTTGAAATAGTTGGCCGGTCTGCGCCCTTCATGTGACTTGAGCAGCAACCATGGGAATTTTGCCCCGCTGTGGAGCTTCTGCCATCTGCTCCGGGGATGAGGAGTGGGTTTGAAATAGTTGGCCGGTCTGCGCCCTTCATGTGACCTTGAGCAGCACCATGGGAATTTTGCCCCGCTGTGGAGCTTCTGCCATCTGCTCCGGTTCGCTTGGACGAGGAGTGCTTCTCTCTTTTCCTTCTTGATTTTTATACTTCAAACTTCCTTGAAAATGGAGGAAATGAAACCACAAGGCTTTTTTGTGAGTGACACGGGAGAGCTCAGTCACTTTCCAGAGAAGAAATGAAATTTAGGGTGAAGGCAAAAAAAAAAAAAAAAATCTCCCCCATCATTTGCGCTGGCCACAGGAGTTTGGAGGCCACTTGACCTTGGCAGGTGGGGGTTACCCGGGCTGCAATGCCCCTTGGTGGGGTGCTCGGTGTGCTGCAACGCCGCTGTTCATCTCCCAGCTGCTGCAGAAGGTCCTGTTGGTGCCAGTGCCTGGGACGTGGAGTGTGGGTGTTTCAGGGCGGTACCTGCTGACCCATCCTGATGCAGGGCTCAGTCCTTTCTCTATAGTTTTGAACCTTTTCCCAGCTGGGTAAATCCAGGTGAACTGCTTTCCCCCCCTCAGCAGTTGGATTTGCTGGGGATCCAGGGGTGCGTGAGGACCACGGGAGAGGGGAGATAGGGGGTGGGAACAGAGATGGAGAGCAGGGGTAGATGGGGGCACAGAGGAAGGGGGACTCCCTGTTTGTACTGCCATGGAAACGTGGATTTTTGTCTGTCTCTCTGCCTTGACAGTTGTGGGAAAAACCACACAGAGATCAGCACTTGGGAAGTCCCTGTATCTGGATGGGTCTGACTTGCACCCTGGGTGCTGGGTTTGCCAAAATCCCGAGCAGCCCCAGGAGACCCAAAGGTCTGTGGGCGGTGGGATCCGAGCATCCCAAATCTCACCTAGACAATGGGTGGGGCTGGGCGCTCCTGTCCCAAAGTGGGGACTCAGCATCTGGGGATGTGTTCAACCTTGGCTTGGGATGCAATGGGAAATAACAGCACCACATTCTTCCCCTGTGGGAAGCACATCCCTTGGCTCCTGTGAAAGCCCCAGTGCTGGAGGCAAGCGGGGGACTAGAGGGACGCAATGGGAATGGGTGCCATGCAGGGGAGCACTGCCCAGCCGCTGGCTTTTCTCCAGCCCTGGCACAGCTCCACAGACAGGAACCCCCCCGGGTCACCAGCTCTGCTGCCTGAAACCCCTGCAGGGGTTTTGCTGCCGGAGCTGTGCAAAGGCTGTCTCCAGTGCTGCCTTGTCCCCAGGAGCAGCGGGAGAGCCAGGAGCTGCGTGACCCTTGGCGGGGGCCGGTTCCCCCTGGCATCCCCCTCCCTGCCTGCCTGGCCCCCGTGGTTCCTCCTTGCTGGGGAGCTCTTTGTGAGTGCATGACCCGGGTTGTAAGTGCTGAGATCAGTAAGCGAAGTGCTTGGCCGCGCTCTCTGCCTCCATGTGACTGCAGTTTCCGTTAGCTCCTTCCGCAAAGGCTATATTGGTGCTAAGAGAGAAAGCGGGTGGGAGAGAAACCCAGCGGGTGGCACCTACCCTTGGCCCCAAGAGCCCCCCAAGCGCAGCTGGAGGGGCTGCCGGCTGCAGGATGAGTTGTGGCAGACACTGCGCGCCGCTCTGTGCGGTGAGTAACTGCCCCCCGATACCTTTGCTGGGGGGAAAACCCTGCCAGGGGTTTTTGGGGAGCCCCCCATGCCAGTTTGAAGATCGATGGTGGCCATGTGTCACCAATGCCCATGCTTGCAAGAGCTGCGGTTGCGTGGACTGGTGCCAGGGCTGGCATGCACCGTGGGGAGCGCCCCAGGTGCTCCCAGACCTCTTGCATGTGGGCTCCTCTGCGGGGCTGCGGGCAGGGGTTTCCTGCCAGCGCTGCTGCCTGCTCTCCTGGCTGGGCAGGCACCGTCCCCGCGGCCCAGGGGAGGAGCAAGGGAGGATGGAGCTGCTCCTGGTGTTGGGGGAGGCCAACGCTGGGCAGCAAAGGAAGGCTGAGGTGGGTGAAGGAAAGGGTGAGCTTCTGCAGAGGAGTTCAGGGGCTGAAGGCAAGCTGGAGCCAAAGCCCCTGTTTTTTGGGTGCAGCGAGGACACAGCAGGGTCCCTCTCCTGCCACCATGACTGGGTGCAAGGCGCTGCTGGGGACCGAGGGCTTTGGGAGGGTGCAAGCTGCTGCATGTCAGCTTCAGCCCGGGGAAGGGGGGCTTCCTCTCCATCCCCACCAGATTAATAAATGCAGCTTTGATAAGACACCAGCTTAATGCTTTTGGCTGTCCCAAGGAAGGAGACAACCCAGGCCGTGTCCCCTGCTCCCTCTGTGCTGCGAGGCTACAGCTACCCGGGCTGCCAAAAATAACCCCGTTTCTTCTTCAAGCACTGGCAGTTATGAAAACGCCACTTGCCGAGACCTTGCTGAGACCTTGCTGCTCATTTGCCTGAGGTTCAGCTTTTCCCCAGATGCAAATGCCGTCAGCTCCAGTTCCACCAAGTTAGTAATGGGGTACCTCGCGTTGAAGAGGCTCCGCTTCCCCTGGAGGACCTCTGCTAGGGATGGGTACTGGAGGGGACTTAGTGGTGGCGGGGTCGCTGTTCCCTGAGGGAGGGTTTGGCACCAGAGAGGAGGGACACAAGCCCTGGCTGGGGGTGGGGGAAGCCTCTGCTTGAGGGTTGCAGTTCAGTGGTGTTTGCAAGCAGCTGTGCAGCCACGACATGCCTTTCCCACGTGTGCTGCCCCGTGTGGGGACCAGGCTGCCACCTCCCTGTCCCTCCAGGCTCTCCTGGGTGGACCCCCATGAGGGCTTCTGCTGGGGTGGGCGGGTGGGCTTGGTGCCTGGGCTCTTTGCCATTTCTCCATGGGGCAGCTCATGGTGGCCTGGGTCTTGTGGCGCATGGTGGCCACCATTATGGCCTCACAGGAACCCATTGCCTCTGGGTGTTCCTGGGGGCAACAACAGGAACTGTGCACCCGCCTGCAGGCAGCAGCCATGGGCGGGAGGCTGGCCGTGCACAGGGATCACCGCTGCCATGATGGGCTCCCTGGGAAAATCCTGGGCCTTTTGGGATGAGCGGTCTGCAGCTTTTGACCTTCTCGCCTCTGTCTCCATCCCCACAGGAGTGCCGCCGCTGAGATGGAGGCCCCGCTCCCTGGTCTCTCCCTGCTTCTGGTCGTCCTGGCAGTGGGATGGGGAAGCGGGGCGGTCGCAGCCTGGGCAACATCTTCTGGCGGCTGTGAGCATGTAAGTCCTCTCTGGCAAACCTTCACCCTTCTCACTGCTTGGTCCTGCCCTGAAAAGCCCAGGTGCCTCAGCATCTCCAGACCTTCCCCTTCCCAGCTATGGGCTTAGCTAAAGAGTGGACTGGGGCGCTCAGAGTCGAGCCACAGAACCACCTTCTCCATCCTCATTGTGCTCCATGGACTTCTCCCTCATCATCTTCCCCCATCTCCTGCATCTCAGAGCGGCGTTACGCATCTGCTTCTTGCTTTAGGTGCAGAGCACCACGGACTGCACTGGGAGATGGCTGAGCTCCGTCCCAGGAAATCTTCGAGGTGATACCGAGGAGCTGTTGCTTGATGACAACACTATCCAGGTTCTGGGCAATGCCTCTCTGCTCTCATACCACCAGCTGCGGCGTCTCAGCTTGACCAAGAACCGGCTGGAGCTCATTGAGCCCGGCACCTTCCTCAGCAGCCAAGGCCTCCACATGCTCTCCTTGGCAGACAACCTCCTCTTCACCAACTACTCGCTGACGGCAGCAGCTCTTTCTGCTCTGCCAGCCTTGAGGATGCTGGATCTAGCTGGCAACCGTCTCACTGAGGACATGGTATCAGTTCTGGTCTGGAACCTGTCTTCCTTGGAGTCCTTGTCTGTGGCCAGGAACATCATCATGAGGCTGGACTCGTCGGTCTTCACAAACCTGACACGGCTGTTGGAGCTGAACTTGGAGAAGAACTACATCTTTGAGATTGACCAAGCTTTCGAAGGGCTACAGAGGCTGCAGAGGCTCAACGTAGCTTACAACTACCTCCCATGCGTAGTGGAGTTCGGCCTGACCCAGCTCAGGGTGCTCAACGTCAGCAACAACGTCATCGAGTGGTTTCTGGCCCTGGAAAGCGATGACCTCTTTGAGCTGGAGGTGCTGGACCTGTCCCACAACCACCTCCTTTTCTTCCCTGTCTTGCCCCGGCAGAGCAAGCTGCACTCCTTGCTGCTGAAGGACAACGAGATGAGCTTCTACCAGCGCCTCCCCAATGGCACATCCCTGGCGGACGTCACAGTGCAGTTCCTCTTCATTGATGGCAACTCCACCAACATCACAACGGTCAGCCTCTGGGATGAGATCTGTCACAGCAACCTCTCCTCCCTGCGCCTCCTGGACATGAGCCAGAATCAGGTCTGGTACCTGCCAGAGGGCTTCCTGGCCCAGATGCCCGCCCTGACCCACCTGAAGCTCAATCAGAACTGCCTGGAGACATTTCACCTGTCAGAAGGGGACCCTTTAGCCATGCTGACGGAGCTGGACCTCAGCCAGAACCAGTTGGTGGAGCTGGGAGCAGAGGTGGGCGCTGGGGACATCCTGCCCAACCTGCAGCTCTTCAACCTCAGCACCAACAGGCTGCGGGTGCTTCCTCCTGGGGTTTTCGCTTACACCAGGAAGATCACTACCGTGGACCTCAGCCGCAACCGGGTTGACCTCTGTCCCCAGCCAGCTGTTGCAGGCAAGGTGGAGAGTCCCCCCTGTGTGGATATGAGGGGTGTCGAGACCTTGACTCATCTCTCCTTGGCTGGCTGTGGTCTGCGGGGACTGGGTGGCCACCCCTTCCAGGGGACATCACTGATGCATTTGGATCTCTCCGACAACCATCAGGCACTGTCCAGGGGCCTGGAGTCGCTGCAGGACCTTGCTCTGACACTGCAGGTATTGTTTCTGAGGAACACCAACCTCTCCTCCACCACCGTGGACTTCTCGGCCTTTACCAGCCTCGTGCGCTTGGACCTGTCGGGGAACTCCTTGACTGTCTTCCCCACCTCGCTGGGCATGCTGAAGCTGCGCAGCCTGGACCTGCGAGACAACTGCCTCCCGGATTTCCCGTCAGATGTCACGCGGACGCCGCTGGGGAAGAGCCTGCGGGAGGTCTACCTCAGCCAAAACCCCTACAACTGCTGCACGCTGGGCTGGTGGGACGCCCTGCAGCAGGTCAAGGGGTTGCACATCCGTGACAGGCAGGAGGTGACCTGCAGCTATGCCTCCCGCACGCTGAACCCCCGGGCACTGCCCGAGCCAGTCCTGTGGAGCTGCCGCTGGCAAACGGCTGACCTGGCACTCCTCTACCTGGTGCTGGCTCTGCCCACCTGCCTGACGCTCCTGGTGGCCTTTGCTGTTGTCTTCCTCATGCTCAAGCAAAAGCTGCTGAAGATGGTGAAAAGCCGGTGTGGGGTGTCCAGCCCTTACTGATGGCTGAGGAGGAAGGGCTCAGGAATGGCGAATGCGAGCAGGTTGTCAGGATGACAGGCGGTAATCTCTCTCCGAGGTGGAGACATGCTGGGTTGGAGGACCAGGGGGTGCTGGGAGAGCTGCTGTTCTGCTATGGATGCCCTAAGGGTACCCGAAGGGTGCAGGGCCATGGCTGGTGATGGAGCCTGGGGCTGTCCTGGGCATCCTCAAGGGACATGTCTTCAGCAGAAACCTTCAGCTGACGTTGGTGAGAGCCAAACAGAGGAGACACTGAACGTCTCTTGGCCAAGGCGGCATGGACAGTTGTCCCCAGTGCTGTTTTTTACCCCCATTCAGGCAGTTCCTTTTATTTATTCACCCCCGTAGCCAACTATCTGCTGCCAAACATCCTCCAGCTCTGCAGTCAGCCTCCACGAATTGCCCCGGGCTGGAGTGAGCATCAGCTGTGCGCTGCGGAGAAGGCTCTCCATGGCTGTGGCTTTCCACGCTGCTCTTGCTGGCACCAGCAAACTCATGGGCAGCCCTGGGCGTGCATCCGTGTGCATGTGCTGATGAGATAGGTGTCAGCAAGGCTGAAAACCACATTTTGGGGTGTTGTTGCTTGGTTAAGTCATGATCCTGGCTAGAAGAACCCATGAAAAATAACCCAAGTTGCAATGATGTAAAATATTGACTAAAAGACAGGAGAATAAATTATATCAGTGGTAATATTATCATCAGTGTCTTTCCCTCCAGCAACTGCTGGATTTAACCAGATGCAAAGGAGAGAGATAAAGTAAGAGACAGCTTTCCTCCTTGATACGTCGGCTCCAGTGGCGTGGGGGGGTTTCCTCCACCCAGCCCCGGTCGGTCACAGCACGCACCGGCTCTCCCGTACCAGCAGTGCGCTACCTGGGGAAGTGCTGCTTTGTTCCTCGGAGGGCTGCTGGGGCTGGAAATGAGAAGTGATGGTGGTTAGCGCTAACTCCAAAGCCCCGCTCAGAACCAGAGCAGCTGTATTCCTGTGGCGCCATTGGGACGTCTCCAGTGAAATGCGTGTCTGAGTTAAAGGGGAAGCAGCACCCTCCCTGGTGCAGGCATGGGGACAAGGACCAGGGTCAGCTGCAGCCCAGACGTCACCCAGTGCATCTGCAGTGGTGAGGCAACCTCTGAGCGTGGGGCCAGAACACGGGGATGTGGCCGAGAGGGGAGGCCAGCTTGGAGGTGGAGCGGTGCATCCCTGCCTGTTTTTGGAGACGCTGCGGAGACGCTGCTGCCTCGATGCGCAGGCAGCCGTTGGGTGAGGATTGGGCTGTGGCAGAGTGGGGGCCAAAACAGAGCTGCGGCAAGCACTGGGGGGTGGGTGCTGAGCCTCGCATGGCTGATTCCTGTGCCAGGCTGGAAGAAAACAGTGCAAGTTGGACTATGCTGGACCAGCCAACAGCACTGCTAGGGCCGAATGCTGGCAAGGCTCTGGAAACCCAGCTGTCAGATCTTGTCTCAGAAAATGGCTGCTTTCTGGCCCTATTTTAGACCAAAATAGCCAAAACCAAATCGGGCCCCAGACGGGAAATCCCTCAACTTATTTCAGCTGTTCTTTCGCCCATAAGCCGTGTGCCCAAGGGACAACAGTAACCTATAAATACATCCCTGCACTGTCCTTGGGCAGGTCTGTGTCAGCACCGGGTACTGCAGCGGCATTTCAGTGTCTCCCGCTGGCAGGGTGGGCAGGGATCCACCTGCTATGGGTGCCGGGTCTGGCCTTGGCAGGGATCCATTCCAAGGTGCGCACTTCCTCTGCTGCCGTGGCCGCTTCTCCTTTTGGCAGGGGGATGTGGGGCGCAGCCGTGGGTGTGCATGTAGGTAGGAACGCAGGTGCTTGGCACTGCCTGGGGCGTGGATAAATCATGGGTGTTTGTTGCTCGTATTGAGCCAACATGGGGGACACTCAACACTCCTCTGTCATGGGAGGGGTTAGCAGCTTTGCCCAGGCACAAGGACAGGGTGCCGGGAAAGCCGAGGCTCACCCAGAGCGGGGACCTGGAAGGGATGTCAGGGCAACAGGACAAGAGTCCAGTTTTAGAGTGGTTGACGTCCTTGCAGAGCTGCTGCTCATCATCTTTGCAAGGTCATGGAGGTGAGGGGAGGTCCTCAGTGACTGGAGAAAGGCAACTGTTGAACCCATCTTCAGTAGTGGCCAAACAGATGTCCTGGGGAGCAACAGGACGGTCACCCTCGCATTGGGAACACCATGGAGTTGTGCTTTCTTGGAGCATGTTTCTAGAAGAGGGTGGCTGGGAGCAGCCAGCGTGGATTAACCAACGATAAGTCATGCCTGACCAACCTGCTTGCTGCTTGTGATGGAATGGCTGGATTTGTAGGCAAGGGGAGAGCAGTGGGTTCCATTGACCTCAACTTCAGCAAGGCTTTCAAGGCCGGGTCCCACAATGTTCTTGCATCCAAGTGAGGATGGCATGGTCTGGATGGGCGGGCAACCAGCTAGGTGAGATCAGTTGGATGATGAAGCACAGAGGGTAGCGGTTGGTAGGACACGCTCTACCAGGAGGCTGGTGAGAAGACGCGTACGGCAGGGGTCTGGATCTGGGCTCTGTCCCGTTTGATGTCTTTGTCCATGATCTGGAAGAAGCCATGGAGTGCCAAGCTCATGGACAAGCCCAAATTGGGAGGGCCAGCTGATATTGGGTAGGGCTACCATCCTGAAGGACTTGGGGCGGGCTGGAGAAATGAGCCAACAGGAGGTGATGACCCCGCCCTCAGCTCAGCACTCGTTAGACCTCGTGTAGACCTCGTGTGGTGAGGCTGGCTGTGCCCAGCGAGGGGATTTAGGCTCCATCCTCCAAGCCCTGCCAGGACAAAGCCAGGTACAGGCTGACCTGGCTCCAGGGCAGGCTGGGTGTGGAGGAGAGGTCTCCATGGGTCCCCTCTCACCCAGGTGGGAGATCTTCATACGCTGCTGTGTTGCAATTTTTAGTCAGGCTTTATTTTTTAAAAATTTTTGGCAAATGAGGCATTGGCTTCTATTTCTCTTCTGGACTGAAGACTCCCTTGGACACACACAAGCTCACTCATCTTCTCCAGTGATGGCAAAGTCCAGTGGTTTAACTGACACGTGTTTCAGATTTTTCACAGAACTGGCTCTATCACTTCAGTCTGTAGGAGGGGAGCTCTTCCAAACCCCAGCTTCTGTGCTACGATGTGATGTCTTACACTGATGGAATTGACAGATTTGAATTCATTTGTGGTTGCAAGAAGGAAGCCAGGAAATGAATTGGTCTCAGAGGCACTTTACAACTCTCTTTAGTTGCCTCAGGCATGAATTTGTTGAGGCCATTCAACTCGGGGTGAGGGCCCAGCCCATTCACAGATCTCACAAGCCACCCCAATTCAGAAAGCCAAAACCTGGGAAGCTTTTGGAGTCATGTAATTTTCTAAAGAATCCCAGGCTTAGCCTTCTAGTTCTTGCAGGAGAGTAGGATTTGGTTCATATGAACCAGCTGAGTTAGACAGTGGGATTAAAAACTTCAGTAGGCTAAGGCAAATATTTGCAGAGATGAATTTCTTGGTGAGCACCAAAACACTGCATGGAGGACCTCTTGCTGCAGCTTCACTTGTCGTGTCAGGCTCTCCCCAGCACAATTTCGAGTGAGCTGGGAACTGAAGCCTGATGAGGCAGCAGGGGTAAGGGTTTTGTTTTACTCTAAAACCACCCACAGCCTTTGTGACCTTCTACCACGCTACTTTTTTATGGATAGTTTAAGTGCATTTTCCCAGAACTGAGCACTTACAGAGAAAGCATCGTCTAGGAGGGCAAGAGAGCAAAACACCTCACGCCACCAGTCTGAAATGGCTGCATTTTCAAATGTGCTTTCAAGACTGACTTTCTAGATATTCCATTTCTTAAATACAAGGATTTATATTTGTGTAAGCTGAAGCTGGAGATTTAAGCATCGCTCAGGAAATGTGAGAGTAATATTCTCAACACAACACTGGTTTATCCAGAAAGACAAGCACTAGTAAATACCACATGCATACAATAAAGCTTTAACACTGCTTTCAAGACATGAATATTTAACACTTCATTTTCAGTCAAAGCTGAATAGAAATCGCAGCAAGGGAAGCTGGGGAGGTTTTCGGCCAAAGCTGACTTAGTGAAAGAGTAAATAATTTAAAGTTATTTAGGCACAGCAGCAACTAAGTTCAGCTGCCCAGTTTCCACTTCATCAAGTCTGGCTTCTTAAAGTTCACTTAAACCTGGAGTTGCTGTAGCACCCTGGTTCTCTGTAGCCAATGTAATGTGCATCAATGGCACGAACTGAAAATCATGCAGTGGAATACATACGCTGACATCGTTCTCTCTGTTAGGACGGCGAGATTTGCCTCTGAATCCCTCGTCTAAGCCATCTTTGTTCTGGAGTCAGATTTCTTCACCTGACTCCACGTCCCAGCCACAGGACTCCAGCTGCTCATCCTGTGGAAACTCAACCTCAACATCATAGATGAAATCTGGGTCATCCTTCTTCTTCCTGTTCTTTTCGAAGAGCTCATCCATGATGCTCTTCCTTTTGGCTAGTTCCTTGTCATCCAGTTTGTTCAGATCCTCTTCTGGGTCAATGGTCTCTTCCTGATGAAACTTTTCCAAGCTCTCAGCCAGGCTCTCTCCTCCCAGGTGACCTTTCAGCAAACTGTACAGCTTCTTTAGCTGACGCAGTGAGACTCCTTCTAGGTAAGCCTTGTGCCGAGGGTTATTTTTCAGCTGCTCAGCAGCCAAGCTGCAGTCTACAGAGAAAGCCACTGTGAAGACTTAAGAGCTGCAAGCAAATGCCGTCCCATAAACAGACCCTCTTCTGCCAAACCCTCACAAGCAAGATCTCCAGACTTGGCAGAGCCACTACTCAGGTTACGATGTAGCCCTGGGCTCCTCAGGGGAGATGGTGTGACCCCAAAACAACCCCTCTGCAATCCTAGCATGCCAGTGAGAAGCTACCCAGCGGTTACTAAAACTGCTGTTACCAACTATCAGCTCCTCTTGCTGTGTCTGGACAGGACTTGGGGAATGTTCAGTAAGTTTGCAGATGACACAGAGCTGGGCAGGAGTGTGGATCTGCTGGGGGGAGGAGGGCTCTGCAGAGGGACCTGGCCAGGCTGGAGCCATGGGCTCAGGCCAGTTGGGTGAGGGTCAACAAAGCCAAGGGCCAGGTCCTGCCCTGGGGTCACAATAACCCCATGCAACGCTACAGGCGTGGGGAAAAGGGGCTGGAAAGCTGCCCAGTGGAAAAGGACCTTGGGGTGTTGGTTGACAGGCGGCTGAATAGGAGCCAGCAGTGTGCCCATGTGGCCAAGAGGGCCAACAGCATCCTGGCTTGTATCAGGAGTGGTGTGGCCAGCAGGAGCA